ACTGGACATTAACCACTGGGGAGCCAAATTCTCCTTCCCTCCTTGTATTAATTAGCACAACATTTTTGGAGTCGGGGGGGGGGGAGCTTGTTAGAGGGCGATACCAGCTAAATGACAGCTCTTTCATCCAGTCACCTTTTCAGCCCTGCCCCCCCACAAGAACCTGACATGCAGGCACATGCCATTAACACAGATAGAAGCCGGACCCGACACATCATCCATTCTGCTGTGGCATTTCATGTGGCCTTGGGAAGTAATCTGATAGGCTAAGCATTCCGACACAGGAAGGAGCAGGGAAACAAAGCTGTCAGTCACTCATATATGTCAAGGAAGAAAGGCACTACAAACGTACAGAGAAGCATCAGCTAAATGTCCCGTAAAATACCCCTGCAGAGAAACAGGGGGTGGACAGACACCCACTTAAGGTTAAGCTACACGCAGAGCCACGATGCCACCAGGAGTGGGTGTAAGTCAGGAGTTACTACACATGCAGGCATGTCTGTGCTGGAAGACAGCAGGACCCGGTCCTTTCCCCAAACCTAGCAGTGGTAACAGTAACAGTGGTCCCCAGTAACAACCAGCACCAAATCCGCTCCATGAGACTGGGGGCTGCTCCCCATCAAAAACAAGTCTGCGGACACGGTAATGAGGATCTATAGGGACGTTGTTTTGAAATGTGGTGCAACACTGGATGCATCGCGGGACAGAAATGTGGGCAGCATGAATCAGCACAGCTCCATGCGAGTTAGGGGAAGCCCAAGGGCGACAGCTCCATGCGAGTTAAGGGAAGCCCAAGGGCGACGCTCAGAACCCGGACGGCCTCCAAATTAACCCGAGACACTGCTGGGGGAAACGCCAGATGGTTATTACAGCACGTCATTACCTCTCCATCCTGTTTTCAGCAAAATGGAGCAGGAAAAATCCAGAAAGGAGGCCGCTAAACAAGCCAGAGGATGGTGAGGAGGCCCAACCCTCATGCAAATGAGTGACAGAAAAGGATCAGGACCGGAAGTGCTCCCAGGAACCCTCCTTCCTGGCCCAGTGCTCCCAGGAACCCTCCAAGTGGACCAATGTGGCAGGGCGTCTCTGACCCCGGCAGACCCCCACCCCCAAAAAGGACGCCAGCTCTCGCAGGCAGATGGCGCCATGCATAAGGGTGTCACCCGAAGGGGCCTGGGATGGGCGTGCCTCGGCCTGGAAACACCGGCGGCCCCAGAAACACCTCTCCTCCCCCCAGTGAATACGCACCACAGAAGCTAAACTTATACACAATAACGCAGCTTCAGGCCACAGGCCTGTCATTTGGGGGGGGCGGAGTCCCCAGAGTTACGCACAAGCACTTAGCCACCGTCCTTCACCACATGGATGTAAACATCCAAAACGACCTTGGGGGGGGATGGGAGGGCGGGAAGTACCACCATCTGTTTCGTATTCAGCCTGCCCCGCCCCCATTCTCTGTGAGAACAAGGTTAGCCTGATGTGTTTACCCCTTCAGGATTTCAGACACTAACCCTAACCCCCGTGGCCCTGCCCCCCCACCACAAGCACATGGCTCATTCCACGGTGACCAATGCCCCCCCACATTTCCCTGGTAACCCCATTCAACTGCTCTGTGCTATGAAAAGTAAGCAGCAGTGGTTTCTCCTGAAGGCCCATAAACAAACACATACACACACCCCCACAACACAAGTGGGGAATCCCCCCAGAGTGCCTGTCAGTTTCATAGGCTCTGGGTAGAGACGCACGATCTATCGTTATAATATTGCTATTCGCCAATATCTGTTAAAAATCAAAATATCCCTTTTAGCCCAATTTTGGCCCAAGTTTTATTGATATTCCAAGTTTGCAGCACCAGTTAGACTCGATGACACATGATTGCATTGGATCAGTCATTTTCCATCGTGGAGGAGGGATTTCGTTACTACATTTAACCTGAAGACACATGAGGTGTCACCCCCACCCCCCCCCCCAGCCCGGCAAGGAGCTCAGAGGTTAGCTTGATACCGCTGCCAGTGATATTACACTGAAATGTAGCTCTGTGGTATTTATCAACAGGGCATTGAAATATTTGGCAAAAACTCCCCGTCCCACAGAACAGCCCCCACGTTCCCGGACCGGATGGCCGGAGCAGTGGGGAGCAGCAGGGCCTGTTAGGGATGTCGCCACCTCTGTTGGGGTGGGGGGGGTTTACCAAGGCACCAGTGCTCACCACAGCCTCTCTGCAGATACTCACAAACAGGAGTGCCCCCCCCCCCACCCCAACACACATAGATCATCCTCAAGTTTACATGCCAAACAAAATACAATAAAGACTCAGAAACACAACATCACCAGGCACCTTGACCGTGCCGTAACCGAGCTGGAGAGGGCGTGATGCGCCAATGACCCCCATGGGTGCCCCATCGCATTCACGGAAAGACCACGCCCACGGATTAACACCATCGGTGAGAAAGGGTGAGACGGAATGGCGAGAACAACAAGTCACCAGAAGGGAGGGATGGAGCTCACCTTTTCATCCGAGTATACAGTGTCCCTGACAACCTGGTCTGGCCCACTGTGCGAGTGTGTGTGTGTGTGAGTGTACGTGTGTGTGTGTGAGTGTGTGTGCGAGTGTGCGAGTGTGTGTGCGAGTGTGTGTGTGTGTGTGTGTGAGAGTGTGTGAGAGTGTGTGTGTGTGTGTGTGTATGCGAGTGTATGTGTGTGAGTGTGTGTGTGTATGTGTGTGTATGCGAGTGTGTGTGTGAGTGTATGTGTGCGTGTGAGAGTGTGTGTGTGTGTGTGTGAGTGTATGTATGTGAGTGTGTGTGTGTGAGTGTGTGTGTGTATGCGAGTGTGTGTGTGCGAGAGTGTGTGTGCGAGTGTGTGTGTGTGTGAGNGTGTGTGTGTGCGAGAGTGTGTGTGCGAGTGTGTGTGTGTGTGAGAGTGTGTCTGTGTGTGTGAGTGTGTGTGTGTGAGTGTGTGTGTGTATGCGAGTGTGTGTGTGCGAGAGTGTGTGTGCGAGTGTGTGTGTGTGTGAGTGAGAGTGTGTGTGTGTGCGAGTGTGTCTGTGTGTGTGAGTGCGTGTGTAAGTGTGTGTGTGTGCGCGCGCCCGAGTGTGAGTGTCAGTGTGTGCGCGCGCGAGTGTGTGTGTCTGTGTCTGTGTGTGTATGTGTGTGCGTGCATGTGCGCGTATGTGTCTCTGTGTGTGTGTGCCTGCCTGTGTGTGTGTGTGTGTGGAGCCCAAGTAACCGAGTGTCAGCAAAGCTACTGACTTACAGCCCAGCACTCAGCTGGCTGCAGGAGCACAGCCTCCAAGTGCATGACCTACGGCCTCCTTTGTCTCAGGTCCCCCCCCATCCCCCCCACACACTGGGGGCTTGGGTCGATTGATCCAAACAGGATTAACTAAATCCCCACCGAAAAACACAGACGTCCCCTCCCCCAGAGGCCCTGGCAATCCCTATATAAATCAGATTTAATCACAGGACCCCAATGGGGGTGGGTGGGGGCTGGGAAATAATCCTCCTAGGTTGGGTCAGGCCAGTGATATAAAACCGGCAACTTGCACAAAAACCATTCGACATTCCCCTGTCGGCCTGACCCTCAGGACAATTAAACTTTTGCATGCAGCCCCACCCTTCTCAGATGATAAAGTGTCCCTATGAAGTCCTCTCAGTCGGAGTGGGTAGCGATGTGAGCAGCGATGTGAGCAGCGATGTGAGCGTGCCGTGAAGGACACAGCTCACAGAAAATGCCTGTCTGTCACGGACACTGTGGACGTCACGCAGATGCCCTGATGGCATGGTAACGCATCATCGACGGCGGCTTCAGATTTACTGGCCAATTTCTGACATACACCCAACCTATCATTTGTGAGTGCCTGATACTCCCTCCCGGCCTGAAACACACCACTCTGTGCCTAAGCGTTTAGGAGAAGTCTGCAGACATTTACTGCTGAAGAAGTTAACTTTAGCACCAATGTCAACCAGTGAAAAAGGCACTTCCCACTTTAGAAAAGCCAGTCAGACCGGCCAGTCTCCCCAGACTCCTTCCTGTAAGCCACATGCACTATAGCGATCACAGCATCACCCACAGCTAATCCGGATGCACCACCATAAGCCTGGAAGCTGCTATGCTCTGTTAGCTGTGCTTCTGTTAGCTGTGGCTCCGTTAGTTTGTGGTAACAACTGCATGCTATCATTCCATTAGCCATGGTTCTGTTAGCATGCAGCTGTTACCTGTAGCTATGGCTGAGTTAGCCGTGGCTCTGTTAGCATGCAGCTGTTACCTGTAGCTTTGGTGCTGTTAGCCGTGGCTCTGTTAGCATGCCGCTGTTACCTGTAGCTATGGCTCAGTTAGCTGTGGCTCTGTTAGCATGCAGCTGTTACCCGTAGCTATGGCTCTGTTAGCCGTGACCGTTTCCTTGCATCCATTGTCGCAAGTATTAAAGGTTTTAAAATTAGGTTAAATCGGCAAAAAAGTAAACCATGTCACCTTACTTAGTTTTACCTGCATCGGGGGCGTGTAGTACCGCTCTCACCCGAAGATCGTTATTCGCATTCTAAATAGCCGCATTAGCGCGTATTCAAATCGCATCCTGGTAGCTCTCCAGCTGCACCCACCAATGACCGACAAAATAGGCCCCGCCTCCCTATTAAAGATATGATACCCAGCAGAAGTGATTAAGTCACAGGAAGGGGGCTGAGACCACCCCCTGGAAAATTGGTGACGATCAGGACGGCATCCAGTCTGCCCTCATTCCACAGACCCAGCTTGAGTCTGTCCTGCATTTGGGGTGGTGGCTGGATTGAGTAGCTAGATCACACCAATTCATCCAATCTGCTCGAACCTGAACCATCTGCCGCATGAACACATCATGGCTCATGATTCCCACCTCGAAGTCCAGCAAGCTTCCATAACATTCAATAGATCCCCCCCCCCCAAAAAAAAAACAAAAGCAATTCCCTCACTTCAGACTCTAACACAACTTGTACCCAAGGTGTGGGGAAGGGGGCTCCTACCTGCATGGGCTCCGTGGAACTGCTGCTCAGGTCGTCCCCGGACTCCGAGTCGTTCCTCAGTTTCTCTGGGCCATCAGCGGTGAGGTCGCTAAACACCGGCGCACGATCCACATCCTGCTCTAGCAGGATCCGCCTCACCAGCACGGGGGAGCGGACAAAGTCCGGAGCCCTGGCATTGGGTGGGTCAGGCCGCATGTGCATGAAGCCGGGCCCGGCGTACTGGTTCAGGTTGTTGTTCTGGACGCTCTCTGGCACACCGCCAAAGCTGTCCAAGTTCTGGTTGGTGTCCCGGTGCAGTGACGGTGGGCTGGGCCGGCCGCACCCGGCCCGCCCGAAGCTGGACATCTCCTGGGGCCTGTTCAGATTTTCGTCCGACCGCCGGATCTCCAAGACATCCGGTTTGAGCCGGCTCGGGCTCACGGGGTGCAGGGACTTGCCGGGCGGCATCAGGGCCTTGCGGACCTCGCGAACGTACTGGGCCGGCACATAGAATGCTTTGGCGTCCTCGTCTTTGCGCACCTGCCACCAGTCGTCGTTGGTCTTGCGCACCAGCATGTACCACTCGCCCTGCCGGATGCTCACCAGCTTGTCCTTGGCCGTATACTCGTAGTCATACTCCACCTCGATGTACGTCTGGCCCGGTGCAACTGGCACCTCAGCCCTGCCATCGCGGTCGGCCATCTCTCGTCCGTCCTGCTTACCGCTGGGGGGCCAGGGGAAGGTTCATGGTGCGAGAGGAGGCCTGGGAATGACAGGAAAAGCCGTTGTGTTGTATAAACAGACCAACAGAACTGACAACGCTCCCACTTCCTAAGCTTGGTGACAGATGCCATATTCCAGTCCTTGTCAGTGTTATGAAGAAACTCCCCTATCACTGAAGTAATAATGGTTTCTTCCAGCACACAAGGTGGGGGAAGGTTATTATTACTAAAGCTCATAGAACTATTAAGGGCTTTGGGCAGCCCGATGTAAGAAGGTAACACCTCACAAATGGATAAGAGTTATTTTGGGGGCTCACACCTCGCATATAGGGGGGGATGTCATTTAACTTCAATGATTTGTATGTTGACACCCCATTCAGAAACAGAAGTGCATCTCTCGAGGGCCCAGACCAGGTCCAAGTGGGCCAGAGGTGACACCAGCACCAGGCTGGATTCAGAACCCACCCGCATCCCGGGGTCCCCAACTCACCACATCATACCCCCTCCGCTCCCCTCCACATGCCTTCAAAATTTAACTTAAAAATAGACCTTACCCCATTACTTCTGCGTCCTCCCACCCCATCATCGGTCACTCGATTGACGCTCGCATGCACGAATGCCAGCTTATATCAGGCCCAAAGATGAACGCATCAGTATGATGGGGCTCCATGGCGAACTGGTCGCCCACAGTAACCAGCGCGCATAACTTCACATTTAAAATCAGGCCCCAAGAAATGGCATGCCGGCCTGGTCTGTGTTGTGTGGCACCGGTCAGAACACACCTCTTGTGACACTGATGCGCTTTCTGGTTGGTTACTCTTCAGTCAGTCAGTCAGACAGACGTAGGTTTAGAGCAGCTAAAGTCCAAGGAGTTAACCTTCTGTTTCTCATTCTTTTATGCAGCTCCCTCCTTCCAGCACTCCACACCAATGACTTGTTCACTTCCAGCTCTCATAAACCTCATCACGGCCTGCGCTCTGAGGCTGACACTGGAGATGAAACCATCCCTGACACCTCTAAACAAGGCTGGCTCCATTACGCCAATCCCTGGCCAGAAAAGCCAGTCTCTATCTTTGACGTCTGGACTTGTGCCGGTTGGTTAAAATTTCAGACCTTGGTGGGGGGGTGGGGGGGGGGGGGGATATGGAGAAAGGAGTGTAATTATGCTCAACGCGAACCATGCTGACAACAGGAAGCACTCCAGGCCCCCTGCAACAGATGGACCCCCTGCTGAAACAAACGCCCCAAAGCTTCGAATGTCAACACACTTTGTCTTCCTCTTTCCAGCTGATGATCTGTTTTTATTCTCCACAGCCCATCCCCCCCCAGCTCCTATGAATAAAAGGATGTTTTCAGAGATCCTGTTTTCGTGTCACTTATGTCCTTGTGAAAAACGGGTCACTGGCGAGCTCACATACCGTGGTTTACCACGGAGTCATTTTGGCAATGCTGCACCCCCTGGACACCATTTCCCTGGGACCGTTTCCCCACCCCCTGCATTTCACGGTTTGGCCCTCATTTTTTCAGCTTGCTGTCCCTGAAGCAACCACCCCCCCAACTCCATTAACCTGACAGTCACATTCTTTCAAACGCTTTCCCCTCTGCTCCGATTGAAGACAAGATGCCAGTTTTGTGGAAAATCTGAGCTAAGAATAAAATGCAGTGCCTCTTTCAATCAATCCTTCATCAGCGCTGCGGAGAGGCGGGGAGCAGGCTGTCAGACGCCATGCCCCCCACCACCTCACCCACCCACCCCATCACGGGGCAAATCGCCGAGGAACGGCAGATGGGTACTTCATAAACCCACCTTTGATATCGGTAGGGAGTGTTTACCTGTTCAGACAGACAAAGGAACCATGTGTTACAACAACAAATCTATTTCAGCTTTCAGGGAGAAGAATGTCACTTGAAAAGCCTGTTTTTTCCTCACATATAATAAATAAATCATGATAGAAGACAAACTGCCTTCATGGACACCACGAACCCAAACTCGCAACCCACTAACTCACAGCCGCAAGCGTAAGTGGCCGGCCGGGGTCGAAGTGACAGAAACGGACACGAGAGACCACTTCAACCAGAACAGGAATGACTGGCCGCAGTCGACGCTGATGGGGCTGGCCCAGAACTGGGCAGTGCATCGCCTGGTCAGCATCCAGGAGCACCTACAATACCCTCAACTGGGTCCCTTAAGCAAAACACAAATCTTACATGTAGACCTCAATAAACCGCAAACCTGCCGAGTATGTTACCGTGGCGACAGATTTCCAGGTCGCTCCAAAATAAACAGTGGCTCTGAGCGACAAGGACTGGTGAAAACCCAGTACAAACACGCTTTTACGTGCGGAAGTGAAACCCAGCTGGCGACATCTGAAAATAGCTGGACCGTTTACTAGAAGACAGCGCCAGCTAAATGCAGAGCATCTCATGCCCGCAAAGCCTGCCAGAAAAATCTACAAGTAGATAAATACCACAGGATACTACAGACTTAAGATCATCTACAGATCCTACCACAGGAATCTCCAGATGAACCAGAAGGGTGCTAATCACTCAGCTTGACTTCAATCATCATCTTTAGTACATCAAGTTCTGAAATTATTCAAGTGTGCCCTATCAATGCATAAATTTCACCTCAAAATAAACCAACATGGTTATCGACCTATACGCTCCTGGGTAGACCGACAGGACACAGAGTACCTCAGGTCGACACACCAAGTCTCTGCTTCATCAAAAAGCACCCAGATGTTGGAAGACCATGATAATTTCCCACTGAAGACAGTGTTCCATTTTATATGATAAAATGAGTTGGTCAAGCCTGCTGACTAATTGCAGGATGACACACTTGTGTCGTCTCTCCTCTGTATCTGACACTCCTTTGCAGATGATTAACATGAGAAGCCAAAGAGCTCTCAGCTATGATGGGGCCAGCGTCTGAAGACGTCACACGGTGCCCATTACCCACAACCATGGCGTGCATTCAGTGCACTCACACCAAGAGCCGCGGCCGCTGTGTGACCCCGCCTTTCCACCGGGCTCTCTGTCCTTACGAAAGCAACCAATTCGACCTCACACGGGGTCTACCCACATCCTACGTCAAACAAAGGTCACCTGACCTGCAGCTTCTCCTGACATCACATGGTATCCGTCATAAGCAGCAGTTTTTTATTTGCCCTTTGCACAGGAAGGAAGCCATGAACAATATAAATTAAATGCCTAGCATGTAAAACCTCTTACCACTTCACGTGAGGGTCACCTCTCACACCAGTTACAATCCCAGGAACTAAGCAGCCTAACGGCACGACAGAGAAAAGGTCACTTTTGAAAAAACAATGATCCAGCTTTAACCTCCCAACCCTAGAAGGTCTTTAGGAAAAAAACAGTCCGTGAGGTGCTCCCCAGACTGTGAGCGTATGTAAACTAACCCTCCAGACTCATAATAGGATGGAGGGGATTACAGTGAATCGTGTCACTGCCCTATACATAGGGCGCAGGGCAGCACCAGCGCGCGCTTTAACGTCAGTCACCGGCGCCTAAATTCTCCGCGGTTATTTCTGGAATATGAAAGGTCAGGAAGGGATCTAAAGAACGGCGAGCAACTGGCGCGGTCCGCACGTCCTTTACACGCTCACCAACCGGGGGATATAATATTTTTGGGTGCGGAGGAACATCGAGTGACCGAATTATAAAAGTATTACCCGTCCCTTTTCAGATTATGCTACAAATGTATGTCTATGAAATATTTTCTCAGCGACATTTCATAACAAAGACACATTATTGGTCGCAGCATTTATAATCATGTGTTTTAAATGGGATTATGCAATTTACAGAGCAGCATAGCTACAGACATCCTGATGAACATATACTGCCAGTACTGATACTCAGGTATGCTTAGGGACAGGAGATGATTAATTTTGATTTTCATAACCGAAAATTGCCTTATCGTCCCCTTTGTTGTTATTATGAAGCCTCGTTAAGGTGTACGTAATAAAATGAGTAAACACAGCTGAGTCGGTCGGTCCATCTTGCCGGACCGTCTCTCCCCTATCACCCCGGGCAGACCCGGCCCCCCAGGCAGCGTGCGATGTGGGAGAGGCGGGCTCCAGGCAGCCACGCTCCGGTGATATCCCATTACCAAACCACATTAAATAAACATACACATACGCCCACGGCGACGAGGAAGTTTCATTTTGGTTTCGCCGAAAAACGAAATCCCTGCCATCAGCACACTTCCCCATTTCTGATTCACGAATAAACACCTTTTTGTTATTTAAACGTTTCTCCATGGCATGCATCTGGAAACACGTCATTCTCTGGAACCGGTGATTCTGGCACATTGGCCACAGGAGACGCAGCCTTTGAAAGTTTCTCACACATGAGTAAGTTCGAGGCCGGCCGGCTACTGCAGACAGAGGTTCAGGGAAGGCGCTGTATCGCACGCTGTCCAGTCGCCTTTGTCCCCAGTGTATTCATCGTTACTCCAACGCCATATCCATTGTGGTCAACTGCCTCGATACACACGACAGCAGAAGGTTTTTAAACCATCTTCGGAGGAAAAACCCGCCTGCGCACCCCGAATACCCTACTTGTTAGGAACTTACCCACCCCTGTGTACAAGCACGGAGGTAAATAGCCGATCGATGCGGCCGCGCTACAGGGGAGACACCCTACATGCCTGGCAGGTTAAATAAACAGAAATACAAGATCTGCATTGGATATTCAGCCTATGGCATCGTAGAAACGACGGGATCCATGACTGTAATGTGCGCATAATCAGCCCTGAACGCCGAGTCCCTTCCATGCAAATCTCTAAATTCTAAGTAATAATCATTAAAAAGAAAAAACACCACTTCATAAGCCTTTTACCGAATCCAGAAATACTGGCGTGCTGTTCACAAAAAAATCACCTTTTCCCTGCATGAGCCAGAGCAGGCAATTCGGTTTAAAAAACACAATCACAATTCACGCCATTTCCACCGCAGTAAAACACAATGAAACCCTACATGATAAACCATACATGTGGTACATATTAAAACGCACGTGTAATGGGGTGTCCATTACGCTTCGGCGCATTACAAAAACGCGGCATCGGCGGAGCAGGGTCATGTTCCCTGCCGCGGGAGAAAAACACCATGTAAGTATCTAAAGGAATTAGAAATGCATGCTCAGCGACCTGCGCATGAAACGGTTACATTCATCCGCACTCCGGGATTGTTTATATCTAATTATACCAACCTTGGCTTTTGAAGTCGCGGTTTGGAAAACAAGCCGGTCCGGCGAAGCACCAAATAAACCAACTTCCCCGATTCGTATGTCGCTTTCCTGTCCGCGGTACAGGAGCAGGCGATCCGCCCGCCTCCTTCCAGCGCCAGTCCACCAGTTCTGACTTGAGGTATCACCGCCTGCCAGATCCGACGAGCCCGTCCTTCGCCTGCTGCAGTCTGCGACCCCGGCGGGACTCGGGCGCCATCTTGTGGCTTTAGGCCACTAAGCCCTTCTGGGCTACACACGTACCTGTGCGCCGGTATCACTGAGTTGCTGGTTTCAGTGTCACCAACTCTAGTGAGCTGGCTGGACTGACATTTTCAATTCGAGAGAAGTCCACACACGTATTTACATGTATGTAACTGTTTTATTACCCTGTAAATAGTCCGAGGGTTTAAACCACCCAACGCTTGTGATGCAGCTTATTTTAATTTTTATAATGTAATAATATAAATTTGCAGTAAGATTTTCTTGTGCAAGTCAGAAAGCGCGACTGTCGCGCAAGATGTGAGTTTGCAACCCTGTGGATTGTGAATTTTAAATGTTCAGTTAAAAATATCGATTCGCTGTGTGGTCTCATAACAAGTGTTTGCCGGTGTTCTGTGTGATTTTTTTTGTACGGTACTGAGGAAAACTTAATACCCCTACCCGTCTGGACAGACCCCAGTCCTCCCCTCGTCCAAGATAGGTGGTTTTAGGATGGATGGATGGATAATTAAAAGTTCAATTTTAAATAATATGGGTTATTCTCTGACTAGCGCCGAGAGCTTCCGAGGTAGGTTCTTTCGGGATATTCTTCGCCGCCTACAACACCTAACCAAAAGGCGCCAAATGGACAAAATCTTGTGAAATTCGCGAGGGGAAACAAACGTTGCGCGAGATGGACCGGATGAGTTTAGCGACAGAGCGAGTTAAAAAGGCCTCGTTTTCAGTTCACCCACGTAGTCAGTTTAATAATTAGGGGAGAGTGGGGCAGTTGCAACATGGCTTATTCCTCTAATCAGGAATGAGCTGAGGTGATTATATTCGTACTGCACATGCTTACTTAGCCCCTCTTCCTTCTTGGAAGAAATTAACCATATGTGACCATTCCTTCTGCAAAAAATACTTTTCATAGTAAGAACATAATTTTTATAAGATCAGAGTTTTTGTCATGCTGTCTGAACTCTTTGCATGAAGCACATATCCATTTTCTGAAACCACTTATCCCATTCAGGGCCGCGGAGGGTCCAGAGCCTATCCCAGAGACTACGGGAGCAAGGCAGGGAACAACCCAGGATGGGGCACCAACCCATCGCAGGGCACACTCACACACCAGTCACTCACTCATGCATACCCATGGACAGTTTGGTAACTCCCATTAACCTCAGTATATTTTTGAACTGTGGGGAGAAACTGGAGTACCCAGAAGAAACCCCCCGACGACACGGGGAGAACATGCAAACACCACACACATGGAACCTTGGTGGAGACTCGAACCCAGGTCCCAGTGGTGTGAGGCAACACTTCTCCACTGTGCTACCCCTACATGATTTTAAGGTCATATCATTTTAATCAGTGTTTTCTTAGCTTCTAACAGGCATAGCTAGCATGTGTCAAAGCTGTTGTGTCAAGTAGCATAGCCAGTTTTATCATGGCTGTCAGTTTAGGGACAGTTGCAACATATTGTTGCAACCATCCCAAAGTACTGTTGCACCAAGGGAGGAGCTGTTTATTCTTGCTACAACTGCAAGTCTGATGTGGACCAATGCCCTATCTTACCCTCTTCTCTGTCTCACACACATAAGCTACATCACATGCACGTACAGAAACGCACACAAATAATGACATACCTGCATATCCAGATGCACACTTAAAAATACTTTACAAGATTCACTTAAACACACACATAGTTCACTTCAGCAAGCTCTCTGACGTGGAATTCTTGCCTGTTACCCTTTCTCTGTCACACACACATTTACCTATATATCCAGATGCACACTTAAGAATACATTCCAACGTTCACATAAACACACACAGTTCAGTTTAGTAAGCTTTCACAGTTCACAGTATTGTTAAATTTCTGTGGCTTGATTTTGTTTGTATACACATATGCGCGCGCGCACACACACACACACACATACACACATATTGTAGTTCAAATGTATTGTGATAATTAACCAAAACATTCTTGTTGTTTTTTACTGAAATGTTTTTTCCTTTTACTAGTCTTTGTATTTATTCGGCCAATTTAACTTAGCGAAGACCCTGTCTGTGCATGAATACATTTAAGAAATTGCAAAATGATGTTAAAGAATGATTTTATTACATTTTAATGGATGTTGCAACTGCTCCTGTGGACTGTTGTGACTGTCCCCTGTTATGGGGTCAGTTGCAAAATTTGACTTTGTCTATTCAAGTGTAAATTGTACGTTATATATTATCATATATACAAATGTTACAGCAGTGTGGATGGGTAGCTGACAGATGTAGGTAATTTTGTCTTTCCAATACAAACAGTCTCTGAGAAACTGAAGAATGAATGAAGTGTTGCAACCGTTCCCACTGTCCCCTGCTGATTCTGATTGGCTGCAGAGGCTTCACACCTGACTCACAGGTATAGCCTTGGTATGTACTCGTTATTGGTTTCTGCTTCATCAGAAATAAACAGAACACATGCCTACCACACTTCTGAAGAGGCGTGTCCTGTGTAGCCTATATAATGTGTGTGTGTGTGTGTGTGTGTGTGTGTGTGTGTGTGTATGAGAACCATTTGTAAAAGTGTCCTGCTTTGTTGTCAGATGTAATGGGACAAATATATGCTTTTCCTTTCCACCCAGAAAATGTCCCAATTTTTAGAAAGATACACTCATCACATGCCTTACAAAACACAGAACAAGATACAATTGATTAAGGTTTAGGCAGTGTTTGTAGTACGGTGTTACTGTAATTCCACTACTTTTGGCAGTGATGAGCAATGTAAGTAATTACCTTTTCAAATTAAGTTTTGCAATTAAAAGTATTTAAATTTAAATGGGCTTGTTATTGGTTACTTTTGTCGTGTGAAAATATTAATTGACAAAAGTAGCCTATTCCCATAATATTCTGTTTATTTATCTAACGTCATTCGACCTTAAGACTTCATAGCGACCCAAGCAAGGTGTCCTCCCAGCAGATTCCAGAGATTGAAAAGTTGAACAACGCTGTTATCTGTAAACAAAAACCATTAAACATTAACAAGTCAACATAGCTCTCATTCGTGTGTGTATTAACCAAGTTTTTATACACATTTGTAATACAAATAATATTTTAAACACTTTAGATATAAGGTGTGTAAGTAGGACACATCTACTCACCGATATTATTTATAGATGTGTCGTCTTGGTTCTGTATAATCTCCTCAGGTAGCCCTAGCCTATCATGCATAGGTATGGTACATGGCAATGCAGAGTAACATGGCAATACAGAGTAATTTTCCAACCAGTTTTAAACTGAGTGATTATGACCGTTTCATCTGTGTGGATTTATCCCTGCATCATCATGAATTTCCAGTAAGACAGTAATGATGCAGATCACAGTGTTTTACAGGAGATTTCAGGTTAACTGACCTAATGCATGACAATTGAAGACGCCCTATTGCAGAAACTCAAGCAAGTAAAACTTATTGGAGATTTTCAAAGTTAAAGCAGGTAGGCCTATAGTTTCATGGAATGAGAAGGTCAAGATTTCATTGTGTTCGTGCCTCCAATGGTTTTCATAGTTTCAAAATGGTAGATAATTCAAGCACAGGAAGTAAAAATCCGGACTAAAATTTTGTTTCAAACAGTAGAGCATAAAGAATCAGTCACAGAGTACTGAACTGGTTGGTTGAAACAAAATCTTGGTCTGGATTTTTATTTTCTGGACCTGAACTGTCCACCTTTGTTAAAATGCATGAGCCACACGAGTAAGTGTCATAAGTGCTCATACAAGGTGGTTCGTTAATTATAAACTCAATGCAGGTGATGTTGGCTGGAGATGGCTGTCAGCTAAGGAAGCATTTTATACATTTACGAAACTGCAAATCCATTCATTCATCCATCCATCCGTCAAAACACCTGCATACAAATATGGATCTGCATTTTATACATTTACGAAACTGCAAATCCATTCATTCATCCATCCATCCGTCAAAACACCTGCATACAAATATGGATCTGCATTTTCAACACAAACCACGCCCAAATTGTCTTTCCTGGGCTTTTAACTTTTGCGCTGTACCTCAAACGATAAAGCTGAAACAGATCAAATGGCAGAGAGGGACTGGAAAGTTACTTTAAATGCCCCATTTAATGTTAATTAAAATAATTTTTTGTTCAGATATATCTTGTTTTTATTGTGCTAGTTTATGTTGTTGCTATAATTTTATGCCATGAAAATGAATTAACAGAGAGATGAAGAAGATAAACCATTAAAACAACACAAAAAGTATCTCCAGAATAGACCAAAGTATGGGTGATGTCCCATGGGACACGGTCAACAAGTCACGTGTTCCTCTGAATAGCCAGTCCAAAGTAGGACCAGAAGTCACATGGATCTGTTGACGTGCATCAGCCTTCCAAAGACAATGCCCAATATTTGATAACCATAGCCAGGCAACTTCATAAAATGAAGTGGTAATAAAATCTAAAAACATGGTTATGATTTGTTTTATGGTCCAAAGTAGATTTTAAAATCCAAAAGTTTGGAAAAGTATCCTATGTGCTAACCCTTGCCATCAAAAGTACAGCAAAGTAATTATACTTTATACTACATACAAAGTATTATAGAAATTTTCTAATCATCTTCAGAACATTACAGGTGACCCATTACAAAAAAGGGGTAATATAATAATATTTGCTGGAACTCAAAATCGTTTTCCACATATTGGGTTTGGAATGACTCCCTTAAAAGCATAAAGCTCTACAGTCATTGACTGTCAGTTAATATCAGTTAATGTTTTTTTTACAACCACAGCAGATGATGAATAGACAATTCAGCATTGCACTATTTCCCAAAGACATACATTTCCTTAGACAAACTAAATAACAGATTTATGACAGAGTTGGTGAATGTGTCATGGGAATTATCATGGGTATTATCATGGGTATTATCATGGGAATTATCA